GGCACGTGCAGGCCGTCGAACGGGTGGAGGCAGCCATCACGCACCGGGTAGAGGCGGACCTGCAGTGGCGCCAGGAGGCCTGGGGCCCCTTCCAGGCCCAGTGTATGCGCATGGCAGATGCCATTTCCACCCTCACCGCGCACATTGGCCATGCCATTCGTTATTGCTCCATGCACCCGCCATCCCTCCCATGGCAATACCCGTGCCTCCTCCTGCTCCCCCTCCTGCTCCCACAATGCCCCCTCCTGCCCCTGCCCCTCCTGCCCACCTCCCCGTGGCCTGACCCCCATGTGCAGGTCCGCCCCTGCAGAAGCAGTCACAGGGGCCACCTCTCCCAGCAGTAGCTCTCTGCTCCCAGTTAAGAGCCTCCCACCCTACATTTACCCCCTCCCCATTGTAAATAAAAAGTTCAAACATTGTGTTCCAAAAAAACCTGTGTTGGTTGTTTATTGGGAGGAGGGAAGGGTAGAGTTTGGGATGGGAGACCGAGGCAACCCTACCATGGGGCCTGGGAGAACATCTCTGTCAGGACCTCCCAGATGCGCACCCCATCGTGGTGCACCTGGCAGATGGCAGCTGTGCGGGGCTGTTCGAAGGCCTGGCCCTCGCCTGCCATCCATGTCGGGAGAAAGGTCTCCCCACTCTGCTCCACAAGATTGTGGAGCACACAGCACGCGGCCACTACCTTGGGTACATTCTGCTCACCCATCTCCAGACGGGTGAGCAAACAACGGAACCTGGCTTTCAGACACCCGAAGGTGCACTCCACTTGGTTGCAGGCCTGGTTGAGACGGTCGTTGAACTGGGCCCAGTTGTAGTCCGGTCACCCCGTGTAGGGCCGCATTAGCCAGGACAGCAGGGGGTAGGCTGCGTCCCCCACATTACACGTGAGCATGGTCACTTCCCCAACAGTAAATCCCCGCTGGGGGAAGTAAGTGCCTGCCTCCAGCCTCTCACACAGGCCAGAATTTCTTAGAATGCAGGCGTCATGTGCCCTGCCGGACCAGCCTGCATAAATGTCCGGGAAGCGGCCATGGTGGTCCACGAGGGCCTGGAGTACAATGGAGAAGTACCCCTTTCTGTTTATGAAATGGGCTGCTCGATGCTCTGGGGCACGGACGGGGATGTGGGTTGCATCCAGGTCTCCCCCGCAGTTGGGGAACCCGAGAGCAGCGAAGCTAGCCAGTGTCGCGTCCACATTGTGCAGGTGGATCACTCTCGGCGTGGATGACCTGCAGAAGGGTGCAGAGAAACACAGGGGAGCACATCACATAAGGCAGGGTGAGTGTGCGCTCCCTTGGGCCCCCCACCCCGTGTTTCCCTCTGTCCTCACGCACGCACACACACATGCACACAAGAGGCAAAAATGCTGGGCACCTGGCAGCCCTACAAACACTCACTTGTGTGTGTCTGTTTCCTTATCTATTAAATGGGAATAATGGTGCTTCCTTTTTTGTATACCAGTTTTAAACCTACACATAAAAATGCCATATCAGAGGCGGCGTGGGGGTGCACTCGCTAGAAATGGGGAGAATATATAAATACAAGCTCTTGGTTTCATGGATTTAGATAGAAGGCTGCAACATTGAATTGTTTTGTGATTGAATTAAATTGTAAAGAAATAATAATTGGAGGGGCATTCTGTTAAATGCTTTGTTATAGCATCTTACGCCTACTGCATTACATTCATCCAATAATTTTTCAAACAGACTTGGATGTAAGATCTGTTAGTTGGCTTGAAAAATGGCTGAAAGATTGTAAACAAAGCAGAAAAATAAAAAAAGTGCTGTGATGAGGGTGAAGAACGTCTGCCTTCGCGTATGAAAGTTCTGGAGCCATTGCTGGTCATCCCATTGCCCCAGGACCAGCTGGACGCACCAGACGGTACTGGTGTCTAGTCTCCACAAGGGCCTCTCCACGGTGGGATGGGGATGCCACAGGGACGCCACTGCCTTCCTGGTGAGGGAGTCCGGAGCGACCTGCGCCTTGAGGTCCTGGAGAAGGAATGCAGCAGCCTGGAGCAGCAGCTGCAGCCACTCCAAAATGGCCGGAAGGGACTAGAGCAGGCACAAGGCCACCCCTGGCTCCATAGCACAAGAAACAAGCTAAGATAAAAAAAATCAGCTAAAGGCACAAGGCAACCACAACTAGAACTGCTACAGCTGTCAGTCCCTGCAAGAGGTCCTATAGCACGCAGCAGGAGAGAAACGGCTGTCTGGGGAGATCCCTTTAAGCACGTGTCTCAAAGGAGCTCCAGCCCCCACCCCCAGAAAGGGCTGGTGCCCTTTTGCCCTCTTCAAAATGGTACCGGGCTTCTGCTTTTGCGCAGAAGCATCCTGTCAATGTAGATTCACTTTTGAGCAAAAGCACATCGTTCTTAATGATGAGTCCCAGACCAATATAGACGCTCTCTTGCGCAAATACTCGAACGCAAAAACTCTTGTATTAAAAGTATTTGCGCAAAATCATACCAGTGTAGACGTAGCCCTAGGTAAAGGGACATGGCCACAGGTTCCTCTCCTGCTTTCCCCTGAGTGGGGCCAGTCAGCCCTATCTCACCCTCCTCCTAGGGTGCACCCACAGGAGAAAGGATTGTGATGAGCCTGAGCATTTCCAGCTGCTAGCTCTGGGAATGTGTTAATAGGACTCAGGAGGAGGCTGAAGCTAGTTTCACCTGGTCACTGCAGGAATTTTCACCTGGGCTCTGCCCAATCAGAGCTGTCTCTGGGCTACAAGGGTGCCAGGCCAAGAGTAAGTGCTTTATGGCTTGTTGTTAGGAAATGAACATGGCTGGTGTAGGGCAGGCTGGGTGCCCTTTGGGGGTTGTACTCTGCTGGGTGTTGTGTTGTTCCCTGGCTTTAGGAAGGTGGGATGGGTTTTTAGAGGATCCTGGCTTTTTGGTCTGTGGGCAGAAAAGCCTGCAGTTTGCTCTGCCTCCTGACAAGGGTGGCAAGATGTCTCTTGAACTGACTGCTTGGGGTAAGTGAGGGTAATGTTGGAGGAATATTGGCTGCATTGGGAAGGAACAGTAGTGATTTTTCTTTCTCTTTTCCTCTCCCCTGCTTTTAGCTCTTCTTTTGTTATTTGTCAAAGCTTTGTCTAATGGCAAACTCATCCTTAGCACAACTGAGTAACTGCTTAGAAGAGTAGTACTGTGACTGGTGTTTTGTCCGAGGGTTAGGTGCCTGTATGGGACTCCTCTATGTTAAGATTCTTTGTAGGCACTAAGGTTTTGGCTAATCTGCTCTCCTCTAGAAAGCTAGAGGGGAGGGGGCTGCAGAGCTATGAATTGGCAGCTAAATGTCTCCTTCACCCACCTTTTACTGTCCTGGCTACTAACTTCCTTGTTCTGGCCTCCCTCTAGATCCTCTTGGGAGGCCACACACTCTGCAGAATGATCCCACCTGTGGGGTTTGGGTGTCTCAGACTCTGGATGGATCCAGGACAGTTGATGCCTCCTATGATGGCTGTTACGTATATGAATGGGTGAGTGACCTGGTGGTGCCTGCATGGGGTTCTGCTAAGGCTGTTCCAACAGTCCTGACTTGTGTGTGTATGTGCCTGCATGGGGTTCTGCTAAGGCTGCTCCAACAGTCCTGACTTGTGTATATATCTTTTTTTCTTCCTCAGAATGGCAGTTACCTGATGGCGGTTAGGATTGAAGGGACAGATGCAGATGGGCACAGGGCCCTACATGAAGAGAAAGTTCTCCGGTGCCCTGCTGTTTGGCCAGGTAAGGGTTTTTATATGATCACTCCTAGCTATTTGAGTACAGATGAGTAACTTCTTCATCTAAAGATGGCTGTTCCTCTTGTATGGAGGCTCAGACACTTTACTTCTCAGCTCCTTGTGGCAAGTGTGTCAACTCACATAGTTCTTGCTCCTCCTCCTTTGCCTCTAGCTGCACTCTTCAGAGCTTGGAGTTAATTGTATTTGTATTCTATTAGGAACTGGAGACTCCATTTGGGGACTGCAAGTGATTCTAGGCTAGTCATACCTGGACCTCGGAGGAGGAGAAGTTAAATTAGCCATCTTCATTGCCCAGAAGAGCCGAAGGAATACAAATATATTGTTTTACCTGCCTACTTCAAATTCGTAGTATTTCCTGGAGCTGCTCTGTCCCATATGCACAGAATATGAACTCCAGGGGGTTGAAAATACTAGGCAGAGCTCTGTCCCAGACAGCACTGGCTGAATTTAAGCTCCACATAATTACTCAAAGAATGACCAAATATTAGTTCTTTGAATACTTTCTTTAAGAACATCAGGATACTCTTACTGGGTAGCTAAAAATCAGTGTTTTTAATACATGCCCCCAAAGAACTGTGGGACACTGGGAACTACTTGCAGCTCTTGAACACCAGTCACAGTTCTAGGCTGTAGTGGAGCCTACAGAATCTCTCCTTTCCCACCTCTCAATTTCTCAAGGTGTCCCACTTATAAAGAACATGCATGAATTCAACAGGCATATCTGAGAATGGGACTCATCTCGGGCTCATTCTCTGCTCAAGCTATCTACCCTTACAATACTTGCCCTGACCTCTGCATTTCCACTAGTCTGAAGTGCTTTTGTAATGTTAATCCTCCTCCTCCTTCACTGTGAAGTAAGCAGTTGGAAGTAGCATCTCCCAGTCACAGGTGGGGATTAAATACTTGTCCAAGACCACAAAGGAAAAATCTATTTCAGGGTTAGGTCAGGATTTGACTCTAGGAGGGAAGGAAGAAAGGAGGTGGCTGCTGCTTCTAACATAAGAATGGCCATACTGGGTCAGACCAAAGGTCCATCCAGCCTGGTATCCTGTCTGCTGACTGGCCAATGCCAGGTGTCCCAGAGGGAGTGAACCGAACAGGTAATGATCAAGTGATCTCTCTCCTGCCATCCAGCTCCACCCTCTGACAAACAGAGGCTAGGGACACCATTCCTTACCCACCCTGGCTAATAGCCAGGGCTTGACAAAGTATTGAATCTACTCACCTGTGGCGAGTAGTTTTCAGCCGGGTGCCCTGTTTTCAGTGGTGCACATGTGCTGTGCAGGGCTGGAGAGTGGCTTTTGCCACAATAGTCGAGCCCTACTAATAGCCATTAATGGACTTAACCTCCATGAATTCATCTAGTTCTCTTTTAAAGGCTGCCATAATCCTAGCCTTCACAACTTCCTCAGGCAAAGAGTTCCTCAGGTTTGACTGCACTGTATGAAGCACTTTCTTGTATTTGTTTAAAACCTGCTGTCCACTAACTTCATTTGATGGCCCCTAGTTCTTGTATTATGTGAACAAGTAAATAACTTTTCCTTATTCACTTTCTCCACACCACTCATGATTTTATAGCCCTCTATCATATCCCTCTTAATCTCCTTTTCCCAAACTGAAAAGTCCTAGTCTCTCATCTCTCCTCATATGGGATCCGTTCCAAACCTCTAATCACTTTAGTTGCCCTTCTCTGAACCTTTCCTAATGCCAGTATATCTTTTTGAGATGAGTAGACCACATCTGTACATTGGCTCGAGGTGCTGGACTATGCTACAATCCAGTAACTCAGCTGAGCCTTGGGACCCATGCAATACTTCTCTCCATGCCCCTGGTCCAGTAGGGCAAAAACTCAGTGGCTCACCTCTTGCCCCACCCAGCTCTTTTGTCTTTCCCTCTTACTCTGATCTCTGTATAAACTCTTTATCAGCCCTCGATGCTCCAAGCCCCAGTGTCTGTGGTGCCGTCCAGAGCCAGGACAGACTGCCCTGCACCTCTCTGCCTGTGTCACAAGGGGAATGTGAAGCCAGAGGCTGTTGCTACAATCCTACTGATAGGCTGAAGCCTTGTTACTATGGCAACACAGGTGAGTTTCTAGGCACATGAGTGGTCAACACAGCTGACTAATGCCACATGGGGGAGGAGGAGTTGGCCAACTGAGCATCAAAACCAGAGTAAACCTTGTGCTGTGCTCCCTTATGGTAGACCAACCTTCCAGCCAACATTAGACTATTACTCTACATGAGAGCACATGCAGCCTTGTAGCCCACAAGGCACACCTTCGTCCCTCCTCAAAGGACCTAACCAATGCAGACTCAGTTGTAGCAGCTCCTTGGGGCTCTCTGTGCGGGGGGGGGGAGGACGGACAGTGGGGCTTGGTATTCTGGCCCAGATAGAGGCCAACCTTTTGGCTGATGAATCACTGTTCTGATAGTCTCCCTCACCCACCAAGATGTGGGAGTCTTCCCTCCACTCACTGTCTTAACCGGTCACATGCTCACTTCCAGTGACAGCACAATGCACTCCTGATGGCCAGTTCTCTATTGTGGTTTCTCGGGATGTGACTCTGCCATCCTTGATCCTGGACTCAGTGCATCTGGCCAGTGGAAGCAGTGCTGGCTGCGTCCCTGTGGCAAAGAATGATGCCTTTGTCCTGTTCCAGTTTCCACTTTCTGCCTGTGGCACTACTTTCCAGGTAAGGGTTGGGGAGGCTGGCTTAGACTGGAACAGCAGGGCTCTCTGGGTCAGAGCTAGTTATGCTCTCAAGTCTCCTATTGGGAGAAAGCTCTGGGTTTCTAATATCACTTGCTGTGATAAGGGCAGAGCTGCAGGGTGACTGGCTGATCTTCCATTGCAGGTGGATGGCAACCAGGGTGTGTATGAAAATGAACTGGTAGCAGACCAGGATTTGAGACTCTGGAATAGAGGCACCATTACCAGAGACAGCCCCTTCAGGTAACCTCACAAGGTTGACTTCTCAGCATCTACAGAGCTGTCTCTCCAGTGAGCACTGTTCAGATTGTCAGAAGCAGATTCCTTCAGCAAACTTTTCTAGTGTAGATCCTGGAACTACATACAGACTGCTCCTCCAGCCTGGTCGTCTCATGATTTGGCCTTACTGAAGCTCAAGGAGCTCACTTAAGATAACAATTCAGGATCTAGGTGTATTGATTTGCAGTCCATTCCTTGTAGGGGAGATGGATTCCTGAGAGCTTACCCGACCTCTCCTTTCTGACTGTCCATCTACACCCCCAGACTAAAAATCCTCGGACCGGCTGGTCCTGACTGGCTGTCAATTTTGTGGTTTCTCACCCACCAGGTTGCACATCCGCTGTAGCTATTCTACTAGTGGCAACTTCCTCCCTGTGAGCATCCAGGTCTTCACGCTGCCACCACCCCTTGCTGTGTCCCAGCCTGGCCCCCTCTCACTGGAGCTGCGCATTGCCACAGGTAGCAAATTCTTCCTCCTGTAGCTGGGTCTTATTCCACCTTAATGGGAGAGGAGGGCAAATGCTTTGTGGGGTAGTGAGGACAATCATTAGCATGGGTTCAGTCCAAGGATGCTATTGCATTTAGGATTAAATTAGCAGTCTTCTTACTGAAAAGGAGTTTGTTCTGCTATTAAAAAAAAAATTGATGTATTCTGGGTAGGCTTGTCAGTTCTGATAGAAAGGAGTCACCCCAGTATCATCACCTGACAATCTTTCTGATTGCCCTTGAATTCCTGGAGGGTTGGCAACTCTAATATGGGTTAAAAATGGGGAAATGCTTCCACTTGCCATATGGAAGTTAGGCATCTTCTAGGTAGACGCAGGCCATCCCTGTTAGAAAAGCCTTAGTTGAAGCCACTGACCTGCTGTCCCTCTGGCTTGTTGCAGACCAGGGTTATGGCTCCTACTATGCAGACAGAGATTACCCTGTGGTGAAGGTCCTCCGTGACCCCATCTACGTGGAGGTCCGGATACTGCAGAAAACTGACCCAAACCTGGTGCTTGTTCTCCACCAGTGCTGGGCCACTCCCAGCGCCAATCCTCAGCAGCAGCCACAGTGGCCCCTCTTGGTGGATGGGTGAGTGCCTGGGGGTACCACATGAGGAGTGTCACAGGGTCTGGCCAGAGCAGGACACTCTCTAAATACTGCTTTGCTCATTCCTAGGTGCCCCTATGCAGGAGACAACTACCAAACCCAGCCAGTGCCTGTAGGAGCTGCGTCAGGGTTGCAGTTCCCATCTCATTACCAGCGCTTCATCATCAGCACCTTCACCTTCGTGGACTCTGCTTCCCAGCAGATGTTTACAGGCCCAGTATGATCCCTCATCCATAAGGGTCCTTCCATATGCATCATGTGGGCTTCCCTCCTGGCTCCTGCATCAGGGAGGGGCAAGGGCTCTGCCCCAGCAAGCTGTATGGAAGAGTGGTTCTTCCCTAGTAGCGCATAGTTAGACTTGTCCCTCTGACTTGTGGGAACCCTTTCCCACAAGGACGGGCTTTCAGCTGGGAGTTGGGGAGAACCACTCAGAAGCACAGGGCTGTATCTGTTTGGAGATCATATGGGACTCAGAGTAGTGTTCCATGTTGCACTGACTCATGGAGTCAGAGGTGAGATCTTGTACAAGCAAGGAGCTGATCCGAGTCTATAGCGTGTGGGGCATCCAGTAGCTGAACTCCAACTCCAACGAGGCAATGCATTTCCATAGTCCTGCACCAGTTCAATATTTTCCTATCAACACCAAACCTTCCAGCTTAGTCTTAACCTGTTTTGGCTCAAGTGCCCTGAGGAGTTGATACTACTTGTCTATCCCGCTGTTATCTTAACTCCTAATGTGGGTTTCACCCTCCCATTGACTGCGTATAGTGCCCCACAGCCTCTGCTGAATAACAAGAGCAGTAGGCTCCTAACCACCTCCTCTTCCTTAGGTGTATCTGCACTGCAGTGCCTCAGTATGCCAGCGCTCCCTGCTAGAATCCTGCACCTCCACCTGCACTGCTGCATCCCGTGCGTATTCCAGCCTTTCTTCTTTCCTTACCTGTATCCTACCCTGCAGAGTCTCGGCAGTCAGCATGGGGTTCTATAAACTAGAGTATCTCAGGCATTCTTGCATAGACTTGCTCCTGTCATCCACTGCCTCTGACAGGGGAAATGAGAACTGGGTTTCCCTGTAGAAAGATTCTGAGCAGTAGGCTGTCCTAGCCATGGCATGAGGAGTAGGTAACTTTGCTGCTTCAGGAGGGAATCCAAACTCTGAGGGGTTTGTGGCAGGTTTCTCACCTTAACCTTGCAGCTAATGTTTTTGCTTGCCTTCCAGGGGGCAGAAGGAGCTCTGAGGAGCACCCTCTGGATGGCCTCTCAATCACCAGCAGGGGGCCTGTGATCCTGCTCCAGGACAGGCCAAAGAGAGAAGCTGCCATGGATGGACTGGGTAAGAGCTGGAGTCATGGTATAGGTCAGGTCTGCAAAGCCTGCTGGCAAATTACAATCCATAATTCTTCCATAAGAGGTGCTGTCTTGTGGTATGACAGTCAATTCATCACACTAGCTGCCTCTGAACATGCTCAGTGAGCAACGACAAATTGACTCTCCACTATTGTCTCTGCCTTACGTTGAGGTAATGCTTCTCCCAGCACCAGGCATGGGAGCCTGTCCTGAGCCATGAGATACTGGGTGCAGGAGCTTGTTGGGTTACATGATTCATTACCCCTCCCTTAAGCACAGTAGGCTGGGAGAATGTATAACAGGTTTCTCTCTTCTAGCAGGCTTGTTTCTGAACACTAGAGCATCCTGGACTCTAGTCTGGGCCAGTGGAGCACTGCTGGGGGCTGTATGCCTGTCACTCCTGACTGCTGCATGTTGGAGATTGAGGAGAAACTTGGCTTGAGAATCTAGTGTCAAGAATAATAAAAAAGCATTCCTAGCCCTAGGTCTCTGGCTCTTCACTGACCCTCCCTTCAGTCTTCTAAGGTGCTGACACCAAACTTGAGTTGGTGGGAAGTGTAGGCAGCTAGTTTAGGGAACCATTCATCCAATAACCTTTTTTGGGCTATTGCATTTCTAGGCTAATATTTGATTTAGAATGTCTCTGTTGGTACAGGGCGGTGGCAGAGCTATGGGGCTCGGTTTGGGTGTCTCTACTGCACCATATATTTGATTTAGAATGTCTCTGTTGGTACAGGGTGGTGGCAGAGCTATGGGGCTCGGTTTAGGTGTCTCTACTGCACCATATAAGAGATGCTGTTTGAGCTATGAAAATTGCAAATCTTATTTTTGAGGTTTTCAAAATAGCTTATTTCTAGACCATGTCAACCTTTAAAATAACCTGTTCTGAAACATCCCTTACTTGGCATGGAATGAGGTTTAAAGGGATGTGAGACTATCAAGCCCATTATTTTTATTTTTAAATGGGCTTGCTGTGAAGACATGGGATAGCTATTTTGGGATACTCCAGTACACTGAAATAGCTGTGGTATAAAACAGTCAAGTCACTCAGCCACAAGCCTTCCTGCTTGTCCTTGGCCAAGTGATGACAAAGTCGATGAAGGCAATTGGAGAAAAGGTGACGTTCTCGGTAGAGAATGTTCTCTGTAATGCTCCCTTGTGCTACTGCACTGACCTCATGTTCTGAATGCTTTCAGAAAGATGAGCATGTATATCTGACTCTTGCCAGCAAAGAGCTGGAGTTCAAACCTTAAGGCCACATCTGCTCTGCAATGCTATGTGAAAGGCTACTCTCCTGTGACCACCCCACTAGGAAGCAGATGCTTCATCCAACTCATAGCAGCATCAGCATCACAACTAAATGTTTGAGTTGTGGCTCTTTGGGCATTAAACACTCTTCTATATAACCCTACTGCAGTAATAGGCCCCCTCTGCTCATGTAGAGCCTTGTCAGAAGGCTTTAACAGGGTCACGCGGCTCTTAGTACTGATTCAAACTGAGCAATGAACTTGACAGAACAGAAAAGGGTAGGTGGAGTAGAATAAGTATTCTGCTAGTAGGCATGTGTTACTTTGGTCTAAGGCAGTGGTTCCCAACCTTTTCCAGATGGGCACCTATTTTGACAATTCAGGAAGACTTGGTGACCCAGGGCAACTCAAACTGTGTGAAGGGCTCCTTAAGAGCCACCTGGGGAGACACCTGGAGCCCCTTTTGAAGTGTAATTGTGACCCATATTTGGGTCCTGACCCATAGGTTGGGAACCCCTGGTCTAAAGACACCTAAGTTAAATGCAGGAACTGTAGTACTAAGTGATCCCTCCTCCTTGGTCATTAGTGACTTTTGGAAGGAGGCTGGTGCCATGACAGAGGTGGAAGGGTATGTGCCCTTTGTTTCCCTCCATTTCTTTATGGAGAAATTGGAGAAGGTCCAGAGAAGAGCAACAAAAATGATTAAAGGTCTAGAAAACATGAGGTAGGAGGCAGGGCTGAAGGAACTGGACTTTAGTTTGGAAAAGCAAAAACAGAGGGCAACATGATCACGGCTTTCAGAGATCTAAAAGGGTGTCACGGCAGGAGGGGGGAAATTGTTCTCCTTGGCCGCTGATGGGACAAGAAGCAATGGGCTTAGATTGCAGTGAGGGAGGTTTAGGTTGGACGCTAGGAAAAACTTCCTGACTGTCAGGGTGGTTAAACACTGGAATAAATTGCCTAGGGAGGTGTGGAATCTGTCACTGGAGATGTTTAAGAGCAGCTTAGACACCTTTCAGGGATGATCTAGACTAGGGGTGGGCAAAAGGACCTCATGCAGGATGCCAACTACTGTTCCAGTGGAAGTAAAACTCCTGCTTCAATCGGAACAGGGGAGTTGTAGCAATGCTAACTTGTTGAATGGGCACCTCAGAGAAATAATGGCAGGGGAGTTGTAGCAATGCTAACTTGCTCTGAGGTGCCCATTCAACAATTGTTCCATGGTTAAAATCCAAACCCATTATTTTAACTTTTTTATTAGATACTATGTATTTGTACAGAAATGGAATGTGAGCACATGGCAGTTAAGTGTATGCCCTGCATGCTGTTTAATGTTTCCAGCTATGGAAGCAGGAAACAGTAAATCCTTAGCATAGATCTTGGCAGGTCAACGGAGGCATAACTCTTTCAAATACTTTGCTTAATGGGTCAGGGAAAATCAACCTAGTCTTTACCAATAAGCTATTTTTTTCAAAATAAACATTTTATTCATTTGTTGTATAAAACATCAGTAATTTAGTCTTTATTAAACTTAAATAATTTCAATAACTAGTGCTGAAATGGAGTACTGTTACTATTGCACAGCACTTTAATAATTAACTGAATAATTGTTCAGCTGAGCAGCCCTCAGTCTGTACTGCATAACACACTGGGACCAATTACAGGCTGCAGTAACAAAAACCAAATGGTGTCTTGCATTACAAGGGCTGCCACTTGTGGCAAGCACACACAGTCTAGAACAGCCCAGTGAAAACAGTTAGCAAGCTGTGAGATTGCTTTCAGCAAGTGAAGAGCAAACAACTCAACAGTGATGCAGCTCAAAGCCTGTACAGCTACCCCTTCCTAGCTTCCCCTCCCCCCCCCCATTTCTCTAGAAAAGCCTAGTTTATTTTGTTTGGCTCTGAATTGGTACCCCCATCTTGTGCCTTTATTAGCTGTCCCACTCAATTCAAGAAGTGTCTACTGATTCTGAATTTTTCCAGTGACTTTTTCCAGTGACTACCTGATGTTTAGTACATTGATGGAGTTGTTTATTTTAACACAAAGTATATATGAAAGCTTAGCAGGGTTGTTAATGAGCTGCTACCCAGCTCTGCAGCTGCCAAATGAGCATGTTTTTTTGGGAAACAATTAGTAACTATAGCCTTTTAAACCTTAAACCAGCAAATTCTCTCAACTTAAATATTCAGTAATGTAGAATCCATGTACCTGAAAAGTATAACAGGAGCATTAGAAAACACTCTATGCCTAAGCACTTCTATTATACATGTAAGCAGGGGCTGAACTGCTGCTTGCTGTCAGCCAGCTAAAAGGAGGGGTGGGTATGCCCACTACAGGGCTATGTCTACACTGGCCCCTTTTCCGGAAGGGGCATGTAAATTTCAGCAGTCGTCGTAGGGAAATCCGCGGGGGATTTAAATATCCCCCGCGGCATTTAAATAAAAATGTCCGCCGCTTTTTTCCGGCTTTTAAAAAAGCCGGAAAAATCCTCCCCCAGCATGGGGGAACTGTCAAACATGCCACCAGTGCTTGCAGGAGATACACCACCATCATGGTCAGAGGTCTCAGAAGAACGAGCCTCCCCTCTTCCGAGAGTTGAATGAACTGAGCTGGAGGGAAGGGTTAAAGGGCTTGAGTCAGTCTGCTTCACACCTGTCAGGTGTGAGCTATAAGACTGGCCCAACCTGCCTCTTTCCCCCTTTGTTTTAAGGAGAGACCTAAAGCAGACTCCCTGAGGAATCTTTTCTTTTGCTAGTCTAGTGAAAGCTGGATTCCTTTGCCAGTCCAGCTGGTGGCTAAAGAGTTGAAATCACTGAGAGCTGAAATCACTGGTTTGGCTCAGAGAGGGGGGCTGGCTTTTTTCCAGCCAGTGAAGTGGGGGCAACCAGTGGTGTGGTGTGGAGCGGCAACAGGTGAGAAGCGGTGACTAGTGGCGTGGAGCAGCAGCAGGCGAGGGGAGGCCACCAGCAGTGTGGTGTGGAGCGGCAGGAGGGGGGGGGGAGGGGGGCTGGCTTTTTTCCAGCCAGTGAAGTGGGGGCAACCAGTGGTGTGGTGTGGAGCGGCAACAGGTGAGAAGCGGTGACTAGTGGCGTGGAGCAGCAGCAGGCGAGGGGAGGCCACCAGCAGTGTGGTGTGGAGCGGCAGGAGGGGGGGGGGAGCCATCAGCGGCATGGCGTGGAGCGGTGGCAGGGGGCCAAAAAGCACTGGTTTGGCTGAGAGCCAGCCCTATTGCAGCCAGTGAAGTGGCAGGCGAGGAGAGGCCATCAGCGGCGTGGCGTGGAGCGGTGGCAGGTGCCCAGCAGAGTGTCCAGAGGTGTGGAACAAGACACTGGTGGAGCGTGGCGGAGTTTCGTATAAGGTGCCCCCTATCTATCCCCCCCACCCCATTTCTACCCAGGATGGGAGTGAAACCCTGCTGAACTTTGGAACTCTGGGTGGCATGGACCAGGGACATAGACTTTTGGGGTGTCGGACTGTTTTGGACTTCAGGCGATTCTTGGCTGGGGTGGGGGCTTGGCTCATGTTTGGGGTTATGAACTGTTTGTGGTGTTTTCCCCAAGTTAATGCCGTATGACTTCTTTCTGTTTCATTAAATGTTTCTTTCCTACACTCAGACTCAGTGCTTGCAAGTGGGGAAGCATTGCCTCTCAGAGGCGCCCAGGGGTGCGTGAATTTCCCAGATTACCGGGTGGGGGCTCGAGCCAGTTCTATGGGTGATGGCCCCAAGATATTGAACCTAGGCCTGGTTACTGCCAGGCCTACCCAGCAGAAGGGTTACATACATAAAGCATTATAAATGCATATGACGGTTTAAGCAAAAATATTGTTGCCGTGTATGTAAAAAAGCCTGCAATCAGAAACCGATTAAAAGACAAAAGTTGCAACATGTTTACAGGTCATCGGGAGGGAAGAAAGGAGGAGGAAGATAAGTAATAACACTAAGGGACTCCCACTAAGCAATGCAATGAAATCGAGGCCTGAAGGGAGGGGGCATATAGGCTGCTTCACAGAACCTGCTAGAGGTGCCAGCCTGAGGCTCTACCTGCTGCACCCCTACTCCCCTTCCTAACTTCCAAATCCCACAGTACCAGCCCAGAGCACCCTCTTGTCTCAAATACCTCATCTCTACCCTCACCCCACAGCTCACCCACCAGCCAGGGCTCTCACCCTCTTGCGTCCCATCCTACTTCCTCAGCTTGGAGCCCCTCATCCTCACCCCAAAGCCCACACCCCTCCAGCCAGAGCTCTCAGG